AAACAAAGAACATTAGAGTTTCAATTTACAAGTTTTCAGATTTGTTTTTACACTCACGCGACAACAGCAGCATCCTCGATAGAAGGATGAGAAATAAGCAATGCTTCAAGCTCAGCTGGAGCCACTTGATAGCCTTTGAATTTGATCAGTTCCTTCAAACGATCAACGATGAAGATCTCATCATCATCATCTACGAACCCAATGTCTCCCGTGTGTAACCATCCATCTTTGTCTATAGTTCTCGCAGTAGCCTCTGGATCATTTAGATAACCTAACAAGATCACAACAATTCTTTCCTATCAAGAAATGCTTCCAAGGAAAATTAACAAACAAAGGAACATTTAACTGTTTTTACCCTTCATGGCTTGATCCCCACGGATGCAGATTTCGCCAGATTTGTTGCGTGGTAAGGAGACTCCTGTAATGGTATCGACCACTTTCATCTCGGCGTTTCTACTCACAGTCCCGCACGCACCGGACTTGGTCTTAAATGGTTTCTTTGCAAACGCTAATGACGTGGCCACCGTTCCTGACTCAGTCATTCCATAACCCTGGAAACGTGTTTCTTTTTTTTGTTTAGTCATTACAAATAATGTGAAAACGACAACCTTTGACAAATTCACATTACCATAATAACATCCCCACTGAAACTGTAGTTAAAGTAAACGAGAAATTAATGTTTTGACAATGTCACAATGGGGTTGATTCAACATGTGCGTTGGTCGTCCAAATTGAATTTAAATTTGATAGGAACTGTTAACGTTTTCGTGTATGATCCCCCATAATCTAACAATAAGTCAATGCTGGAGTATATTTTTGGTTGTCAAACCAATAAGTCAAATACTTATATAATAAATGAGCTATAAGATCGATTCGAATTGGTGATTCTTATAAAGAGACGAGTCATGAATCATGAATGTGCCCCCAGTAATGGACTAAACGGTGCAAATAATTCAATACTTACTGTTATACGCTTTTAGTACATATCTTTTTCAGATAACTGAAATTGATTCACACGTTATTGTAAAAGCAACACAAGACAGTCAGAAACCAAACAGAGAAAGTGCATAATAAAGGGGCACTGGGATTAATTTTTTTTTTTTAATGTTTCAGATGAATGCGAAGGACCCAACTCATAGCTAGAACCAGTTTCATCACAGCTCAAAGCGATTCAAGTGTTTTTCTTGCCAAAAAAATAAAATAATGAATCATCCTTTTATAGTTCTATTTGGTCGTCTCAAATGTGGATACTAACTATTGGTTTTGGCTTTTAATAGAATACATTGTGCTGGTCGAAGAATTTGGAATTGTTGTTTGATTTGTAATTCCAAATAGTACGTTTTTTATTATCTTTATAATTTGTTTACCACCACGGGATACTTACGTTTCATCTGATTAATTGACTAGTATAGTCAAGATAATGACAACGATCGGTAGGTAATCATATGTCTACATAAAATCAAATATATTGGTGTACTCTAACATCGAAGATCTTGTTACCAAAAAATATTCGATATTTGGTGACGCGCCTATGATCTAGATACTGACATAAACAGTTTTAAAGCTTAGGTTTGGTAAACCACCCACTAATCCATTTCTTCAACCTCAATTTGTTAGTGTATCAATCTATACATTAAAAATATTCCATTTGATTACTCACGTCAATAGGCAATTGCACATAGCGACAATTCTTCACCTACCACAAGCATTTTCTACTAATTACCCATGAATAACGCAAGTTAACTACTAAGCACGTACCACATGAATCATATGTAATCTAATCAAATAATCATACTCATCCGTTTTCTACTAAGTTACTTCTCCACTAATTATTAGTCAATCACAATTGTCTTATTTATCAGATTTTAACTAGACTCCCTATGTCCACTTGCATTAAAATCTATGAAGAAACTAAGAAACTAGTTGTGAAAGTAAGAGGAAATGAACTTAAAACTGACCTGACCAAATATGGCATTGGGAAACTTGAGACGCACGGCGTCTTCAAGCTCCTTCTTCAATGTAGCCGCGCCTGAAAGCATCATCCTCACCGAGCTCAGGTCATACTTCTCCGTCTCCGTGGACTTAACGAACGCTAAAACCACCGGAGGAGCCACCGGAACCACCGTTACTTTGTACCTCTGAATCAGTTCCATCACCAGCTTCAGCTCAAACCTCGGCACGATCAAGATCGCCGCACCGGTCCTCATCGCCGTGAGCATCAGAGCGTCGAGCGCGAAAATGTGAAACATCGGGAGAAAACAGAGGATGACGTCATCTGCGGTGAAGTTGAGATTAGGGTTTTCTCCGTCGACTTTCTGAGCGATGCTCGTCACTAATCCCTTGTGAGTAATCATCACTCCCTTCGGTAGCCCCGTGGTCCCGGAGGAGTACGGCATCGCCACGGTGTCCTCCGGCGAGATCTCCGGTTTAGGAAGCTCTGTTTCGTCCGCTTGTGTCAGTTCCTTGAAACTCACGCAACCAGCAACTAACAAAACGCAGTGATCATCGTCTTCGTTGTTGTCTACGCAAACGATCAAAACGCCGTCGTTTTTCAGGTTTGTGAGTTTATCGACGTAACACCGCTTCGTGATGATCATCTTCGCGGCGGAGGCTTTTGCCTGTTTTGCGATCTCGGACTGTGTGTAGAACGGATTTGCCGTGGTGGATACGGCTCCGAGGTGAGCTAGGGCAAGGAAAATCAGAGCAAACTCCGGCGAGTTCGGGAGAAGGAGCATCACGGTGTCACAGTGGCGGATTCCGAGCCGGTGGATCCCGGCGGCGATTCGCCGGAAATTGGTTTGTACATCGGCGTAGGTAAAGATACGTCCGGTGGCACTGTCGATGAGACAAGTTTTGGTAGAGTCGCCGTCTCCGTCGCCGGAGAATCTTTGGAAGACGTAATCGGTGAGAGGAAGGTGATTGGGGATGGAGATATCGGGAAGTTTGGATCGGAAAATGAAATCTTGAGAAGGTTCTTGATTTGTCTTCTTTGTGAGAAAATGTGTTTGTTGTTGGAGCACCATTTGTGTGGAGATTCTACTTCACGAAAGCAAGAAAAAAAGAGAAAACAAACTTTCTTCTCAAAATGTAACGTTTGCTTTTCGATTTTGTTTGATTGGGTTTTTATAATGGTACGTTTTGGATTGGTAATGATTCATTATTGATTTATTTCCTTCTTATTCGATTTTTCTTAATGATATTGTCTATAAGCTATTGCTTTGTAGTTGGTGAGTGGGCCAGTTTCACTGCTCCTTTTGCGCCACAATTGTCATTACTAAAAGAAAATTACTTTTGATTATTTATTATATGTTATGAACACCTAATTTTTGAAATTTTTAAAATTAAATTTTTGTTTTATTTTTAAAGTAGTTATAAAACAATAAAACATAGCTATAAAACAAAGTAATTTGATTTTTATAGAGTATTAAAATTGGTTCTTTCTTCATTATTTTACAAAACGTGTCACTAAGCTTTGTACGAAATAAAATACATTTAGCAGATGATTGTGAATTCTGCTTCAATTAAAGGATAATATTGCATGTTCATGATCAATAGTCTTTGCTTTCTTGTTTGTTTGATAGGAATGGATATTATTGTATTGCTGTTAGGGACAATTTAAAATTAGCCCCAAGAGAAAATAACTGTACAGTGATCAAAATCGGTCAAAAAAATACTGTATATATAATATCTATATATATATATATATGTGTGTGTGTATGTGTATGAAATTGAGAAATTAAGAGCACGAGTACATATCTATGTGGTTATATCAATAAAATAATTCTACATGGGTACAATTAATTAAAATGTGAATAATAATATAATTATTTTAAATAGATTACAATTACAGGTAAAATATTCAATAAATATTCTAAACATTTTGGATCGATCATTCTACAGTAGTTTCTTTTACATCCATTCCCATAGATGTGGTCACAGTTGGCACCTTCCTTACCTTGGCTAGATTCTATGCAGTTTTTTTTTTTTTTTTTTTTGTATTTTGACATCTTGATTTATTACGAATTCATGATAAGTGGATTCTATTCTATCTGTAATCGTCTCTAGTCTTTGACACTCCAGCCTTTTTTCCAATAGTTTAAGATGATTATTCATTTTTTGGTGAATGCTATTTGAGTGGGAGACAACCGTTGATCTATATTTTACCTTTAGGTCATACTATAGTATGGTAACATGTTGTCCTTTCTTTACTTAATTGCCCATCAACGATTTCTTTTTTTTGGTCTGATAAGATTACGTACACATTTGATCGTTTTGACTTGAATTCCTTCCGTCAAAATCCATTTGCTAGTCTCGCTCTCAGCTCCTTCCACAATATATTCCTCGATGGAGCTTTAGGAATGGAGTCTGTGACGAACACTTCGTTAACTCTAATTCACACACACATACACACACACACACTGAAGAAAAGCATGTGATTTTCTTGCAATTGGTAGAATTCAGAAAATTATCATTTAATTTGTTTCAATTTTGCTCATGCATGAAAACCTCAGTTTTTCAACTATTTTCTTCTTGTATAAGCGTCTAGCCTTGATGTCTTAGTATAATAAAGGAATCTAATACAAATGTCCACCTCAGGTTCTTGGTGATTCTGGAGCATGCATTCACACACAAAAAAGGCTACTTAATTATGCTTTTTGTTTGTAATGTGGCCATGAACATGAACAAAAGGTTTTTACATATACGATCATCTGTTTAGCGGGTGTGTTTCTGCTTCATAATCCTCTAGACTGAACTAGCTGGAAAAAAATGTTTAAAAACGAAAAAAAAAAAAACAAAATAGTACTTGTTTAATCACTTAGTTTACTGGATTTTTTCTTTTTATTTTTTTGTGTGTATTTTACAAAAAAGAGTATCATAAAGCATTTGAAATTGCTTCAGTGTATTGGAGATCATGTGCTTGGTACAAAGATGTGCAAAAGCATCTACATGATACTTTCAGAGTGTGGTTTTAATTTAGACGAGACGCCACCACTCCATCGTGAGAACAGATAGGGAATATGTCTTTATGTCTTTTAGAATATTCTAGAGTATCGAAATTAGCTAGTTATACATTATGTATAGTTTTTTTTTTTTTTTGAAAATTGCAACTACTTTTTTTGCCTGATAATAATTCCGATTATGGAGCTCCTTCCACGCCCTTGTAGAAACCACCAAACACTCGATAAAACACGAATCAGTCTCCATGAGACATTATTATACGGGTATAGAAAGCATAACCTAACTAAAACAAGATCAATGAGGGTAAATAAGTTAAGACGTTATCATACTTAATAATCTCTCTCTATACTTACTTTTTACTGGCATCAATGTTCGAGCTTACGCATACATTCGAAATTCTCTTGAATCTTTAAAGAATACTCGGTTTACAGTTTAGCTCGGAGTTCCTTTCTTAAAAGCTTTCCCGAAACTGCCTTCGGTATAGTTTCTACGAAAAACACCCTCTTGATTCTCTTGTAGTGAACCACCTATATATAGATCATCACACAGTTGATTTAAGACATATAAAGGATCCATATTATTAACTTATGTGTTTCCCAGGCCGTTTTTGAAGACCAAAAGAGAAATCTCAGAATCTCACCTTTTTGTTAACATAACTCTTGACATCATTTTCGACTAGCCGAGACCCTTTCGATCGAACTACAAACGCCACAGGAATCTCACCAGCTACTTCATCTTTCATTCTGAAATATCAAAATATCATTAGAAAATGACAAAAACATTAATAGAGTTTTCAAATCGAAAGTACTTTTAAGATTTTCATTTACACACGGGACAACAGCAGCATCCTCGATAGAAGGATGAGAAATAAGCAATGCTTCAAGCTCAGCTGGTGCCACTTGATAGCCTTTGAATTTGATCAGTTCTTTCAAACGATCAACAATGAAGATCTCATCATCATCATCTACAAACCCAATGTCTCCTGTGTGTAACCATCCATCTTTGTCTATGGTTCTCGAAGTAGCCTCTGGATCATTCAAATAACCTAACAAGATCGCAACCATATTTTTTTCCTATCAAGAACTGCTTCCAAGGAAAAAGAAAGACAAAGGAACATTGACCGTTTTGAATACCTTTCATGAGTTGATGGCCTCGGATACAGATTTCGCCAGATTTGTTACGAGGTAAGGAGACTCCGGATATGATATCGACCACTTTCATCTCTGCGTTTCTGATCACTGTCCCGCACGCACCGGACTTGGTTTTAAATGGGTTCTTTGCAAATGCCAATGACTTAGCCACCGTTCCTGCCTCGGTCATTCCATAACCCTGAAAATGTGTTTTTCTTTTCAAGTCACTATTAAAAATTAAAAATGACAACATTTGAATTTGTTCAATATAATACACCCCCACTGGCGAAGACATGAACTGAGAAACGTCAGCAAAATCATCTAAGAGAGTTCAGTCTAAAAACTGTAATTAGTTAATCAGTTACGACATTGCTTGAACATATATAGTGTTCATTGGCATATGAATTGGTCGTCGTAATTGAATTTAATTTGATAGGAATTGTTAACATTTTCTTGTATGATCCCACAATCTATTAATAAGTCAATCCTGGAGTTTTTTCTTTATTTTTCGGTCAAATCAATGTCAATACATAGATAATAATAAATGAGACCGATCTGGATTTACAAAGAGACAAGTAATGTGTCCCCAGTAATGGACTAAACGGTGCAAATAATTCATTGCGATATATAGTCAAGATAATGAAAACGATAGGTGATAAATGTGTTCATACGATCATATTCAAATTTTATTTAGTCATGTTGGCATGTTAACATCGCTATTACCAATAAATATTTGATAGGGGTTTTGGCATTTCGTCGACTCAAAGACGTAACATGGGTTTTTGCTTTAATCTGAAAACTCTTTACAAGATGATTCGAAATGGGTTAGCTTTCTTCGTTACCAGTGGTTCCAATCCTGACGTCATGACCAGTTTTGGTATTCCTAATCATTTATTCATAAGTTTTTCCTTTCTTTCTATTTAACTATCGTTTTTATAAATAGCTCTTCTTTCATTGATCAATAAATTTATATTAAAAAAAAACATTATGATACATAATCGAGATATGGTAACACGACACCAAACCCTCATAGTTATAATAAAGTTTGGATTTGGTGAATCACGAATCCATTTCTTAATTATATTTAGACCACGAGATTGTTAGTGTGTCTATCTATACATTAAAAAAAAAAAAAACCATTTGCTTACTCAAGTCCCCACCGACAAATCTAAAAGCTTTTTTCCACTAACTGTCTTCTTTAACTTTCTTTATATGACGACAAACGCACGTTAACTCTCAAGTCCCACATGAATTACATGTACGTAACGTAATCTAATCAAATCAGATAAACTTTGCATTTCCTATTCCAAGAATTATTAGTCGATCTCAATAATTATAGTTCTTGGAATTTCATCCAAGAATTATTAATCGATCTCAATAATTACATTTCTCGGATTTTCATCCAAGAATTATTAGTAGATCTTAATAATTATATTTCTCAGATTTTCATCCAAGAATTATTAGTCGATCTCAATAATTAGAAAAAGAAAATAACAAAATAGTAGTGAAAGTACTTTATAAAAAAAGGCCCATAAAAAAAGTACCTTATCAAAAAAAAAAGAGTGAAATTAAAGTACTGAGGAAATTAATTAAAACTGACCTGACCGAATATGGCATTGGGGAACTTGAGACGCACGGCGTCTTCAGGCTCCTTCTTTAGCGTAGCTGCGCCTGAAAGCATCATCCTCACCGAGCTCAGATCGTATCTCTCCGTCTCCGGTGATTTAACGAAAGCTAAAACCACCGGAGGAGCCACCGGAACCACCGTGACTTTGTACCTCTGAATCAGCTCCATCACCAGATTCAGCTCGAACTTCGGCACGATCAAGATCGCCGCACCGGTCCTCATCGCCGAGAAAATCAACGAGTTGAGTGTGTAAGTGTGAAACATCGGGAGAAAACAGAGGATGACGTCATCTCCGGTGAAGTTGAGATTAGGGTTTTCTCCGTCGACTTTCTGAGCGATGCTCGTCACTAATCCCTTGTGAGTAATCATCACTCCCTTCGGTAGCCCCGTCGTACCGGAGGAGTACGGTATCGACACGGTGTCCTCCGGCGAAATCTCCGGTTTAGGAAGCTCTGTTTCGTCCGCTTGTATCAGTTCCGTGAAACGCACGCAACCATCAACGTCATCGTCTTCGTCGTCTAAGCAAACGATTAAAACGCCGTTGTTTTGAAGGTTTGTTAGTTTCTTCACGTAGCATCGTTTCGTGATGATCATCTTCGCTGCGGAGGCTTTTGCCTGTTTTTCGATCTCTGACTGTGTGTATAACGGATTCGCGGTGGTGGAAACGGCTCCTAGGTGAGCTAGGGCAAGGAAAATCAGAGCAAACTCCGGCGAGTTCGGGAGAAGGAGCATCACGGTGTCACGGTGGCGGATTCCGAGCCGGTGGATCCCGGCGGCGATTCGCCGGAAATTGGTTTGTACATCGGCGTAGGTGAAGATACGTCCGGTGGCACTGTCGATGAGACATGTTTTGGTAGAATCGCCGTCTCCGTCGCCGGAGAATCTTTGAAAGACGTAATCAGTGAGAGGAAGGTGATTGGGGATGGAGATATCGGGAAGTTTGGATCGGAAAATGAAATCTTGAGAAGGTTCTTGATTTTTCTTCTTTGTGAGAAAATGTGTTTGTTGTTGGAGAGCCATTTGTGTGGAGATTCTAAATCTTCTTACTTCACAAAACAAATCAAAACAAAAACAACAAAATAAAAAAATTCAGAATGTAACGTTTGGTTTTCTATTATTGATTGGGATTTATAGTGGTACGTTGGATTAGTGATAGTGATACTGTTTTTTTTCTCAATTTTCTTTAGGTCTCTCTCCAAATGACGAAGATTTGCAATTCGCACTATAGCTTTCATATAATTTGGTGAGTGGATATATGATATATGATATATATTTTTTTAATAGAAAAGGGTTCGAACTTTTTTGATCTCACCAATTTAATAATGAACTAAATCATCGATTCTGTCAATAATTTTATCTTTTGCCAGAGTATTAATTGTATAATTGCTCCCCTCGTTGCCGTAAACTTTATTCTTAATTAAAAGATTCTTCTAAAAAGCAAATTCTTGCAAGTTTGCCTTTCACATCTCAAAAAAATACAGGTCAATTTGTCACTTTGTAATCAATCAGTTATGGATGTAGCTTTCATGTATTTCACCGTATATGTAAAATATTAAGTACCCTTACGGTTTCAAAAACGAAATTCTTTTGGAAAAATGTTTTAATCCAACAAAAAAAATTTGTAATCAATCTTTTTTTCGTTTGATTTGGTTGATAATGGTACGTTGAATTAGTGATTATAAAAAAAATGGACGAAACCGGGTTTTTTTGTTTGTTTGATATGATAATAATGTATGTTTTAGCGAATTCCAAAAGAAAAATAACTATACAATTCAATTACAAGATCGGTCAAACTCCAAATTTTAGCAATCATAAATAAATAAATAAATAAAAGATTAGATCAATAATAAAGATTAGCAAGATCGGTCCACAATCTCAAAGGAGAGTAATGGGACCAACAATCACTGCCAAAGAGTATCCTGCTACGACCACCACAGACTCGTAATTTCCATCACGTGTCAACAAGCAAGTTGGGTGCTTTCCCTTAACGTCGTAGGACGACTCTGTTTCACGTCAATAATTCAATCTAAATAATTAATGTACATGAGAAACACGCACTTAATATCGTTTGAGATAATTTTTACATTATTGACAATGCAGAGTTTTTTTGGTTAATGACAATGGAGAGCTTGTAGGAAAATATTTATAATATATTCGTAACGCATAAGCGTGGTAAGAGGCTAACAAAAAATCAAGAAACCAAACAAAAACGAAAAACTTGATTCTTGGATCATTCTCCTCAAACGAAAAATTTTTGGATCATTCTCCTCAAACGTGATTTCAAATGGCATGACAACATGTAGCTAACAAATACTTTTACATATCTTTATGATATATTTAGGATCTCCTTACTACGCATATCACTCATAGACGTGGTCACTCTGCGTACACACTTGGGCATCATGTGTTTCATATAAAGAAATAGCCGGAGAAGGAAGAAGATAAATAATGAATATATAATACTTTTTTTTATTTCTTTCTCAAGATTACAATGGAAGATCAACATCATGTGAATTACATGCAATCTCTGACATTTACGGTTTCAGTACAGCTACTATGATCTGATGATGTCGCCTCTTATTGGAGAATCATAGTTTATGAAACCTACACTTAGCTGTGGACTTGAAGATTCTGAGAAGAATTTCCTCTGCAACTTGCCCAATACTCAGCAACAAGCTTGGAGAAGTAAGAATCAGTCTCCATCAGCTTTGAAGGCTCATTGTACTCCACAAGTTCACCTATCAAAAACCAAATGAGTTTCACCAGTAATCAAACAATTGGTTTTAAGGGATTAAAGAGAGAAGAGGGCTCATTTTGATTAGAGAGAAACTATGTTTACCAAAGGAGAGAACCATGACCATGTCACTGTCTATGACCGTTGGTACTCTATGAGCAACTGTTATCACCGTGCAGTCTGCAAACTCCTCTCTTATGATTCTCTGGATGATTGCATCAGTTGCTGAATCAATGGACGCTGTAGCTTCATCTAATACTAATATTTTGTTTCTCTTCAACAGTACTCTTCCAAGACAGAACAGTTGTCTCTGTCCCACGCTCCAGTTCTCTCCTTCATCACTCACTTCTCGTACAACAAAAGATAAACAAAATTGCTGTCAGTTCTCGGAGAAGAACCAAAAAACTCCATCTTGTAAAAGGAAACATGACTTATTTTTTGTTTTTTCTCAACCTGAAGAATCAAGTTTATTAGGTAGATTGCTAATCGTGGCCTTAAGCTGACACTTCTCGAGCGCCTGCACGCAAAAAGAATGGCTCATCAGAGAGGTTTTGAATCTTTGACATAGAAATCTCATTCTTGCTTCATATTTCAATACCTTCCATATTTCATCGTCGGAGTAAACACCTAGAGGATCAAGATTGGTCCTTATGCAACCACGGAAAAGAGTTGGTTCTTGAGGAATGATGCTGAGTTTCATTCTCAAGTCTTTTAGGCCAATCTTACTTATGTCAATACCATCAATCAATATGCAACCACTTGCTGGTTCTACCAAGCGAAACAAAGCACTGATCAAAGTGCTTTTCCCACTTCCCGTCCTCCCGACAACTCCTACTCTTGTCCCTTCCCTAAACGTGCAAGAGATTCCCTTGAGAACCAATGGAGCATTGGGGCGATATCTTATCTGTAAAAGAAAAAAAGAAGAAACAAAGGAATGTCTTTAGCATTAATTAAATTCACAATTGGATCCATCATCTTATAACAAGTAGTGTTTCTTCTTACTTTAAGTTCCTGCAAGTGAATTGTACCATTGGAAGGCCATGAGGAAGGTGGTCTTCTATCATCCACAACTGCAGGAGGTTCTGCTGGTATGCTCATATACTGTTTTATCCTCTCCACCGAGACGATGGAATTCGATAACGTACAATACCATCGGGTTAAAAACACCTGAGTTTGTGTCAATGTTAATGCATAGGAGAGTGAAAGCCCGACTAGACCTGCAACACAAAGGCACAAAGTTCATACAGCACCTTTCAGCTTGATGAATATCTTCCACAAGCTATGAGTTGAATAATTTCTTGTAGCAATCGCTGCCAATGAGTTAAATATTTCACATACCTGGAGCTATGTAGCCCTTGGGAATAAGGATAAGCAGGAGTGCACAGGTGAATAAAGTCACATTCTGCAGAGCCTCTATCCTCATTATGACCCACTCCATGGCTGCATTAGACAGAAAGAATAGCACGGCATCTGCATCGACTAGGTTTAGGTAGTTTTTAAAGAATCTGTCTACCGTTCCAAAAGCTCGTATTGTCACCACTCCAAGTGAGGTTTCTGCAGCATAATTCATCACTGGAGCTTTGGTTGTTCCGTTGATCCTAATCAGCTCCCTTGCAGAGGCCAAATAGTAATCCTTTTTTTACAAAAAGGAAGACAGGTGTTAAAAATGACTACTTTACTGCATAAACAAGCTCTACAACGAAAAGTCTGTACCTGAACAACTTTCGTGGCCGCCAAAGCAAGAAGAGCAATGATTATTACTTGCCATGTCACATATGTCATGACGAATAGAGCTGCAGTGAGCTCAACAGCTGGTGCTACCACAAATATGAATGCAAATGGAATGTCAAAGTCCAAGACGTTCAAATCAGATGATGCCTGCCAATGTTACATTCAATTATATCACACATTGAGCTGTAGGTGTTTTTCATATGCATGTAAGCAAAGCGATCTTACTCGGGTGAGAATGCGTCCAACTGGAGTAGAATCGAAGAAAAGCATCGGGGCTTTGAAGACTGCATTTGTGAAACCAGAGAAGAAAGCTTTGGAAGCTTTTAGTCCAAGATGGGCAGTCGTAAGAGATCTCATGTATACAAAACCAGCACTTAGAGCTGAGATAATGCTATAGACTCCAATAAGCATTGTAGCAGTGAGTTTAGGGATCCCAATGCCGTAAGCCAGCCAGTATGTTGATGCAGCCTGAAAAACTACAAAGCCAACCTGACCCAATACGCTTAACCATAGAAGAAACCATCCTCGAGAGACACGGAAATAGTCCAAGAAAGGTTTCAACCCTACATAACCCGACTCCTTCTCTTCTTCCTGTGTAAGTTGTACCCCTGGAATATCTGTTGTTACGGTCTCTTCAACGACTTTTTCGATGTTTCCCATCTCTCTGTCTCTACCTACTTTCGTAAGATCTCCTAGGCTTTCATTACTAGCTAAAGGTAACACGGTTACTGCATCATTATGAGCATTCACCAGCTGTTTGAACGCAGTCCCCATCATTAAGAGCTCCTCATACTTTCCTAACTGAGTGATTTTTCCTTCTTCCATAACCTGATCAAGATCATCAATCATTAATAATTAAACGGTGAAGACATTGACAGTCTTTTTTATCTGCTGGTAATCAAGTTTTACCAAAATTTGATCAACTTCTGAGAGAAACTCGACTTGGTGAGTGACCAGAATGACAATTTTCTCCCTCAGCGAGTCCTCAACACATTTCTGCAGTCACAATTAAATATATTAAGAAGCAGTTTTTAGGAATAGCTTCTTCACAAGCAATGTTCTCACTTACATGAAAAAGAACTCCAGCTGTATGTGCATCCACGGCACTAAACGGATCATCAAGGAGGTAAACATCAGCGTCTGCATAGACAGCACGGGCCAGCTGAATCCTTTGCTTTTGTCCTCCGCTCAAGTTAAGCCCTCTCTGTCCAATTTCCGTGAGGTCACCATGTGCAAGATCCTTTATATCCTTATCCAACGCACATGCTTTGATAGCAGCATTGTATCGTCTAGTTTCCATGGACTTTCCATAGAGGATATTGTCCCGGATGGTACCACTTTGGATCCAAGAGGTCTGAGAAACATAAGCGATTGACCCAGATACCTTTACCTGTTTCGATTGGACAACATTAAGGAAACACTTTTGAACAAATATACGTACACTAAATGAACAAAGAGAAACTCAGTGTTGGTGGCTGCTTTGCTTACAGTTCCAGAAACTTTAGGTATTTCTCCGAGTACTGCATGCAACAACGATGATTTTCCTGCCCCAACTGGTCCACAAACCGCAACTTTTTGCCCACGCTTGATTTCCAAATTTATATTCTGAAGAGTTGGAGTCTTAGTTTCTGGATCCCAACTGAAGTTACCTGCTTGTATGTCAACTGCTGTTCCAGATTTCTCCAGGCCACTTCTTTCAATTTCATCAATCTTTAGCTCGTCGTCCAGCAAAAAGTTGTTAATTCTATCGAATGAGACATTGACTTGGATAACAGATGAAATTGCCTCAGGTATAATTCTAACAGGTTCTGACATAACTCTTAGCGTAGCTAAAACCGTGAAGATGGTGCTTGCGTTCAATGGTGCGCTCTTCAATAGAGCACATCCAACAAAAATAACAGAAGAAACTATTGTTGGAGACATCCAATACAGAAAAGTACCAAAGGCCTTTGTCAGCTGAGTCTTAGCCAACCATTTAAATTCTTCAGCACGAGAAGACTCTATCTGTTTCTTAAACTCCTCTTCCCATGACTGCAACTTAATGACTTTCATACTGTTAAGAATCTCTGAGGTGGACCTCAATCGCTTATCCTGCGCAATCATGAACTGGGTCTGGCAGTTCTGCAGCATCTTTGCAAATGGTAGATTAAGGAGACCACACAGGAGAAGAAGAATCAAACCCGGAAAAGCACCTGCTCCAACCACTCCAAAAAGCACAGCTGTAGAAAGCAAAAGCTGAAGCGTAAGGCTCCATCCCGAGTGAAACCACCACAAGAATTCTCCCATTCGATATGCATCCACCGCGATATAATTCACAATCTCTCCAGATGAATGTCTTTTCCTCCCCAAGCTTGATAGCTTTAGCTGCTTTTTGTATGCAGCGACCATTAACGCTGATCTAATCCTCATCCCAGATCTTCTTGCTGCAAAATACCAATGTCTCATAGACAAGGATTCAACAAGCTTCAGCATAACTAGACAAGCTAAGTTCAAGAACCCATTGCGGAGATCCCTGTGGTCACTGTTTGCATAATCCACAAAGACATATAGCATTAGTGGAAGAGATACAACTGCAACTGTTCTGAAAAAGGCACAAACTGCTATGAGTATGTTTTCCTTGAAGTAAACTCTTGCAACAGCTCTAAACACCAAGTTTCTTTCCTTTGTTGAGCTTCCCTCGGTGAGAAGAGCATCCCACGCTTGAGAAAATTTAGTGTAAGCTAATTCAGCCTCATCCTCCGGGACAACACTTGGGATATCATCTGGGGATAATGGTTTCTTGAAGCCCAACGAGAGTAAACGATTCATCCAAGAGAATGATAGAAAGCTGAAAAAACCAGCTGTTGCTAACCTCGCCGAGTTTTTCCTAGGATCTTCACTTAATAGAGGATCAGAAAGGCCTGTTTCACTGCAATCTTGAGCTGATGCAGAAGACCTCAAATTCATCCAGGAGCAAAGGAGAAGCAAAAGGCTCATCAGCAATGTTATGATGTCGAATACTCCGATGCCGTTTCCCTGTGAAAGTATCTCAATCTTTGCTGCTGAATCCAACAAAGCAAAAGACACCCACCAAACAGATGTAAAGATATTAATCCACTTTGAGCCATTAACAAGAAGTGAAACGGCAAGTGAGACCCAAATGATGCCTTCAACAAAGCAAGCAACCCAGGAGATTTCGTTGACGTCATTAGAACCACCAATCAGAGACTTTAATCCAACAACAAAGAAAGTGACGCTAGTAATGGTACAAAATATAGCTGCAGCCACAAAGATCCAGTTTTTCTTGCGGCGCCTGACGATAAAATGTTTGGAAACACAACCAGCTATCAAGAACAAGTAGAAGATGGAGAGGAACAATAGATTGATGAGAACTATGGCGGTTCTTTGGAAGCAATAAGAAGACAAATTCAGTTCAACATCACACCATGGAAGTCCCCCTGCATCATGAAAAAAACTCGATCACAAAGAGATAAAGAACAAAATTAGTAAATCATGGACACTTTTATATATATATATATATATATATATATATTGTTAAGTAATCGACTTTTTGCCTTTTGAGGAACACAAGAAGCCAAAGAAGGTTTAATATCGAAGATCCCACAATAGTATCAATGATTGAACATATATAGATTATTCTAAAACCAGTTAGATTCTAGTAAATGTTTGTGTTTGTTTGTTTGTACAAGAACCTCACACACAACCCATGAAAGCAATAAATAAAACCGTTGAAACAAGAAATAAAGGAAGAAATCAATGGAGTGAGTAGTAAAAGAAAAAAAAAAAAGTGGTGATATCGTACCAATCGAAACCGCCATTGTAGAAGCAGCAACAGACCTCAATCAAATAGAGAGACAAAAAAACAATAAAAAACACTATCGACCCTCAATGAAATGTGAGGTCAATGTTTACTAAAGCTAAACGACGTATCGAAGTCTGAGTAAATGATTGAATTTGATCGAATTAAGACCTGCTTTTCTACATTTTTTTTTAACCAGACGTCAATTCAACTTTTGTCCCGCCCTGTAACTATTAAAAGATGCGAAATTGCTTACGTAACATTCATCGCCTCAATGTGAATCATACACAGAGGTAGGAGGACACGAGATTCACAGATCTCTCTTACCATTTACGAAGGAGACAAGGAAAGGAAACAAATTTTGTACTATAAAATATTTAAAGGTTTTTCTTTTATTCTTTCTTTTGTCGTCAAAATAAAAATACAAAAAAAAAAACTGATTTAAAGAAGGAACCTTTGTTTCTGGAGGTGTCGCGTTCTCGGCCACTGAAACTCCTCGAGCCGTGTAATTTCCCCGGCAGCCCCAAGGCGGATTTAGAAATTGTGAAGCCAAATTCAAATTTGCGCAAAATTGGGTTTTTAGATCTACACGTCACATTATAAACATGCGCAGATTTGGGTTTATCTTTTACTGTAGTTGACCAAAAAGAAAAGGAATACATTGGGCCGGTAATGTAATAATGGGCTCCATTTGTTTTACTATCTCTTAAATCTTCAGATTTGCAAATTCAATCTTTACAACAAAATGTCAACAAGTTCACAACGTCTGACACCTATATTACTATATATATAACCATCCTAGATTTTTACTCTACATTGTAAATAAATCAAAGCAATTAGGCCGAGAATGATTTCGTCTTCTTAGTTAAATTAAGAATTATCTTTTGTGCAAGTAAATTAATGGTTAATTGGAATTAGATACTAACTTCTAATTAGATCTCTGATTCAACTAGTTAGGTTTTATTTTTTACATAGAGTAATTATATTTTGATTCTTGGTGGATATACGTAGTATAGCAAAACAAAAACAAAAAGTTAAAGGATTGATCAAGCTGTAACTAACATGGGACTGATTATGTGCATGCATGAGCATATATACACAACCACATATGGGTATATATGTTCCATACACACTCATATACCAAATCATGATTGTGTGCATGATAACGCAGTTAGATAAATAACTCATTATAAGAAAAAAAAAATTTGATTAAAACTCATCAGAAAAGTGATGCTACAAGTTAGACATCGTGTTACAACCAAGCTATACCCTTAACTCCTTTCTCTCGGTGCTCTTTTTCAAGTTGACTTTAGTTTGTGCACTTCGTATAATTCCTACGCCAACCAAAAAGAAAAAAAGTCAGAAAAAACTCAAATTCATATTTAGTCACAAAAGAAATACACAAAATTCTTTTTCTCTTTATTTTTTTTTTTTTAAAGTCTTACCAAAATAGAATGAAGTTGTCTTAGAAGTGGAATGAGCAAAGAAATTAAACTTCTTATATCATCTTGAACCATTTGATTACTCTCGTCTTTAGCCGCAAGCACGTTGATGAATGTGTTGTTGTTTGGTACCAGCTTAAGAGCCACCTTAAGAACACACATTCCACGAAATCGTTTGAGCAAAAAAAATTTTGGTTTTTTTTTGTTTTGTTTTATAAATGTTTTTCTAATCGAGTTATAGTCATAATGAACATTAACGTATAAATAATACCTTGAAAGCAGCAGCAGAGATCCATCCATGCCATGGTTTTATAGTCAAATTATAACTTTCTAGTACGGCTTGTTCCATGTTTTGTGACATGTCTTTCACCAGCCGTTGCAATAGCTCCAATGTAAAATCCATGGCTCTAAATATTTTGGGATTCGATAGTTATAAGAAAAGATTGTTGGTTCATATTCGTTTTTGGGTTTCTGTGGTCCGAAACCAAACCGGTTTGGGATAGATATAAGCACCAAAAGTATACGTACCTGGTTAGCCAAAGAGCAGCTCTGCTACAGCTTTTAGGCTTCTTAGTGGATCCTTCCTTGGCTTCTTTTCTCAGTATTTCAACCAAGTTTGAGTATAAGATAGGATCTGATTCCCACATCTTCTCTAATCTCTGCAAACGAAAACAGTTTTTGCATACATACAAATCAGTAAACATACTAATACACAGGGATAAAATGTTGATAAAAATCACTAATACAATAAAAACGAGGGTGTGATGAAAAAACGAGGTCCATTCATTTGAGAGAAAGCGTATGACGAAAATGACCCTGAAAGCAACGTAAAGGTGTAGATGGGTCCACGTGTCGAAAGTGATGAAATTTTCTTGGGCATCGTCGAAAAACCAGTTTCTTTTTTTTTGTTAATCATGCTTACTAATTATACGTTGAGTTTTCGAGGGTAAGAAACGAAAATAAAATACTAATATACATATATCTAAACTTGGTTACGCAAGTGATTACGAGCATTGAAAATGATGCGTGTATATAATACTCTATGTAATTAACAAAAAGAGACAAAATTAATTACTTGAATATTTTGATCAATGTCTTGTCGGAGAACAGCCATTGTCGGGCCAATCTTATCTGCAATCAATCAACAAAGTTTCAGGACACCATTGGAGGAGCTAGTTATTATGCTTTAAATCAATAAACCAAACAGTACAGTGAGCTAGATTCGGAAAAACAGAAATTCTTTAACGTTTTAACAATATATTCAACAAAAATATATATACAAAAATGAAAAAAAAAACAAGACAAAAAAACTGCATAACATTTTATTTCTATTTTTGAAATATATATATATATATATATATATATACCAAGAACTTGGATGATTAATTTGCAGAAAGAGAGGAGAGGCTTCAAAGGTAAATTGATGATGCAGGTGGATTCTGTTTCGGTGGTAACTATTGTTGTCTTGGCTATGGAAAGAACAGAGAGTTCTTCAATGGCGGATCCAATCTCTGTCATCTTCTTCTTCTTCGTTGTCTCTTCCATGTCACATCTCTTTCGTTTCATCTTTTGATATTTTTGCTTTCTTGCTTCTCGAGTATACGTGTGTGCGTGTGTGTTTGTGTATGCCTCAACTAAACCAACATCAGAGAATTCGGCTATTTATAATTCCGGCTATTGAGTTTTTCCTCTCTTTTTTTTTTTTTTGATACCGGAATATTTGTTAATTATATCTTGTAAAATAGGAGTAGTACAGTATAAAGTATAACATAAAAAGCTTATCTAAAGAGTTAATAATTTAATTATATGGTGAATTGATTGGCAACCCCTATGTTTGACCTAGCCATCGTTATTAATTCCCGGATTTAATCAAGTTTTTGTTTATTATTACTTAATTATTTAGTTAGACTGTCTATTCCACTAATTGCACAATTTGCGAAGCTTTTGGTTTGTTTGGTTAGTTAATACTTTTATCTTCCTAATCCCAAACTTACTAATCTTTCTATACTAGATATGAAGTTGAATTCTTATCAAACGCTATATGAAAACAATGATACGATTAAGGAGTTGAGAATGGGAGACTATTCGAGCAAGACTTGACACAACTTAATTAAAGTTACTCAACACACATTAATAAGTGACACAGACAAAAATTGAAGAATGCCGCTTAGAGATGTTGTCATAAAGAGATTTAACAGATTTCTAAAAAATTTAGAGAATCAAAAGTTTTGTGTTGCTGATTATAACTGGAGTGTCTCGTGACTTTCAAGGATGCTAGTTGTGTATCTAATGTGAGAGGCACATAAGTATGTATATGTGGCGTTGTTACATCAGATTTAATAAAAAAATGTATTTTTGGTAGTTATGGTTTGAGTTTTACAAGGTTGAAGTTTAGGATCGGTCACTACTCACTAGTTTGGTTATGAAGAGTTCGTATAATAGGACAAGACGATAGATCAAGAAGCCCGAACTTGGTTTACATAATTGCAAATTACAATGGTGTGTTTGTTTTCTTGTACGTTCTAATGCTTTCGTTTCTGGACGTATAAATTCAGTAATGTTTATGTGAGTATAAGTTTGAGTACATTGTAATTATTACAATGCGGTATTGAAAAATAATAATATACTTTTGAATACATTTAAGTAGGCATACCATAATTTTGTCAACAGCAACACTGCAACAAATAAACGAATCTGAGATTAATTAGTAATTGAGTAAGGTTGTGAATGGTATAAAAGTAGAGTAAAAGGGTGAAAATAAAATTTATTTGATTGGTTCAAAATGAGAGTAACTCAGCAGAAATATATTTTCAGTTTGGTGAAGCTTACTTCTGCGAAGGAGTGTGTAGAAGCCTATGTAGGACCATCAAAAGTCCAAATGATAGCCTAAAAGATAAGATAGCAAAAATTTTACACAATTTTAGAAAAGAATGATAAAGTACATCATCAAATACAATTATTTCACAGATATACATACCTATACATATACATACGCTTACACGTGTCGGCATGTCGTTTTGTGTGCAAATGTACATGGAGAAAGTGGGGCAGTTAAGGAGTTTAATTTGTGGGTCAAACGTCGTAATTAGACACACACACATATATATATATATATGTATAGTTTTATTTTTTTTTAATTTTCTTAAATCTTATCTTTGTTTGTTTATAAACTTTCAACGAGCGGGTAGTTAGCTAGCATGTTAATTGATTATCATTTTTTTTGGCGATTCAATGTTTAACCGTAAATGATATGTTTTCGCTTAACCAAGTGTTAATTAACATTAGGATGTAATAATGGCCTAAAAATGGATTTTACTAGTAACATCCACAGAGAAAGCTGTGCACAGTTCTCACATCTGAAAGACACAAAATCCAGATAAGATATAAGTCCATTTGCTAAATAAATTGAAGTATTGTCCAGAATCTATCTAACATGCTGGTGGGTAAGGCACTCCAGCTATTAGAGGGACGATTTTTTTTCCTTATGTACAATTTATTATATACTACTAAATACATTTTCTAATTTAACTACATGGTCTGCATAATTTCAACTCCCTCTTATCTCATCCCGATTCATGAATGACCAAACCAATAATAGTTTTGCAGAATAAATTATCATGGCTAAGCCAAGCACGCCGTTTATATTTTTTTAATCTATTAATCAACAAATGATTTAACCCATTTAGTTTTAGACTTTTAGTTATAATCATAAGTCCTTCTGATCAGGTAATGCTTATATATTACAGCGTATCAATTACCAAGTTCTTGGAATATGGTCTACTTTGGTTCCTATCCAGTAGCCAGACCATAGGGTGACAAATCACGATGTAGATACTAAATATAGTATAGTCGTAGTCGTAGTACTAGTACTAATAATGATCTTGTTATTTAGTCGTACTTACTGATGATAATTATTATCTTTTATAAACTATACACATTAATCGTCATGTTGTTAAGGGCATCTCTTTCTCTCTCTTTATACATGACAATTATTTATTTAATCATGTATGAGTTTTGTTAATGCCCTGCGTACTATTATAACTAATTAACTATCTTTCTGGAATACTATATGAGGTAACCTATCTTTTTGGAATACTATATGAGGTAACCTATTTTTTGCGATTATTAATAAAATAACCTTTTCCCTTTTTTTTGAACTAAAGTTATCACTCAATTTAATCTCTTTCATAATTTTGTCTCATAGCTTAAAGGTTTATCAGTTTGGATAAGTTAAACCAAAATGTTTGGTTTCTCTTTTATACAATATACGGTTTACTTTTTATTTTGCTATAGATTTTTATGAATGGTTTAGTGTACCTTAATCGATTTTGGTTTAGAAGTTATTATTATCCTGTTAGATAGACATTATGTTTGAATTCTCTATTTACAATCTAAAGTTTAAATTATATATCTATATGTCTATATGAATAATTAACTATCATTAATCAGTTTGGATTCACTAATTTTAACTATGGTGCGCTCTCTCGTTTAGGCTATAAGTATCATTTCATGGGATAGTTAAAGTATTGTATTTGTATTTTTAACTTAACCAATGGAAATTAATGAGCAAGATTATTTGTTGGTTTGTTGGACTTATGTATTATGATAGTTGATCTCTTAATTGCATAATGATTAGTCTCATAGAAATAAATCAATCTACATTGTGTAATCCATATTATGAAATTGAGATTAAATGAATATATAGCATCATTAAGCGGTAATTATCCCAGATCGATTACCTTTTTGTTCATGATCCATGTTTTCTTTTCATGATTACTTGTTTTGGTCTTAGTTTGTTATTTCTTGTTTTATCTTTAATTGGTTTAAATCCTTGGTTTGCTTATAATTGCTTTCATTGTGATTAATTTATAACTCAAAACCCCAAAAACTATTTCTTTAACTTAATTAGTTTTTTTATTTGTTTGTATTTCTCAGTGAGCAATTTATTCTATCTTTCTTGTAGTTGGAGTTTTAATTACTCTTCGATTGTCTTGTACTTGGGATCTAGTTAAAATTAAAAATTTAATCGTATCAAGTTAGATTCAATTTTTAAGTCGAGTGACTTCGTGTAAGTGATTCGCTTATACATGCGTGGTTTACCACAACATTAACTAATTCATCATTTTATATTTACAGTTTCTCCACCGTGATCTTCAGATTATTCGAATTCATATCGCTCTCCTAGAGGAAGGGAGTCAGACAAATGTATAGTTACAAATCTACGATAAATTAGACAGAAGTTCACGAAATTATATTAACTTTTCGAATATTGCCAGATATATACCACAAGCTTCCATGCCGCTTCTAGTTTTATATAGTTTGAATACTCAAGATTCTTTGCATTTAATTATAGTTAAAAAAAACTTGGGACCATTTACAACAGTTAAACAATAGTATTGTAATAATGAGGCACCAGGCTACAAATATGACACGTATCCAACTCTTATTGAATCATTTCATTTTATCAAAAACGTGAATAATCTCAATGTCTCTCTCATGTATATATATCGATCGAACCGGCCGATACAACTAACTTATCAATGCCCTGTAACACATTTTTGGCATAATCTATCTAATTTCCAAATTATTTATTAGCTTTTCTTATTTGTTTATACAAGCACCCATAATACATAGACATACAATGATACAAATGGCATATCCATTTACCTCTTTTCACTCAAACGTATTATAAGCTCTTTTATATGACTCCTCTTGATGACTTATCATGGAATTATGGTGTAATTTAAGAATCTTCGTGGTCATCTAATCTAGAGACGTGTGAATAATTTTCACGGTTTGTAATGATTCAGATAGTAATTGAATAAAAGAGGTAAATGAAGTTTTGGAGTATTAATATTTATATATATATATATATATATATAGTCTTCCATCTGAAAATGATATTGTAAAAGAATTACTGTTCAACATGTCAAGCCGGCTAAATAAAACTTATATTTGAATACAAGTGGAAAATAATTAGTAATTATAAAATGATGATAAGCAAAAAAATCTAGGGTTCCGCCAGATGTATTTTAGGTCGGTAAGGCATGCGAAGATAACCAAAGAAATCATCTCACTTTATTCACTGATCGAATAAACCCATATATATATATATATAAATATATCAGTGTTCATTATTCATATATACACATCACACATACATAATACATCTATATGTTTTTATGCATCCACTCTTTAACGATACATCAGAACTGGCCTGTTGGACCGAGAGACATGATATGGGCGTACGTTTATGTAGTCTGATACTTTCTTAAAACCAAGTAATTAATTTATTAGACAATTATTCGATTATATGCGCATTGTGGCCATGCTTTTGCTAAAATTAGAATAGAAGTTTGTCTGAATCCTGATCAAAGACCGGACAACAGGCGGGAACGAAATCTGATGTTCATCAAGCTTCCCAAGATTCTTTACCCTTCGTTTTTTCTTTTTCTCTTTTTATAACTTTGGGCCGTTTACTAAAATTTATCAAAAATAACGTGAAGCATCTAGGCTGTACTTTGCACGTGTCCTCCTATTGAGTCACTACATTTTGTTAGTAACGACATTTTTTTTTCACCTTTGTTAATAACGATAGATATCTCATCTATACAGAACCTGATCATGCATAATTATATTATCAAAATTAACCAACACCAACACGTTAGGCGCATAATATTCCA